TTTTGTAGGTTTGGTAAAGGAATAGCAGAGTAGGTAGCCCCTCCCAACTGAGTGAGCATTCTCTCCAGCATCAGATTTTCCGGCTTTGAGGTTTGGAAAGATATGGTATGTGCATGAGGTTTGGTCTGGTCAGGTGAAGCTTTGTTTCTTCAGCATATTGTAGCTTTATGCCCTGCCCACCTGCCTATTTCAGAAATAAAGATTTCTTTCTTTCTTTCTCTTCTCCTATCTTTCTCCTGCCTCTGTACTAGACTTGAAACCTCTCAAGGGGTTAAAATATTTTTTTTCTCTCTCTTCATTGTATAAAATCAAGTTCCTTTATGGTTGTGTATGTATGTACAGTACATTACATGATCTATCTCTCCTTTGTCGTGTCTGCTTGTCTGTCTTTCATATCCGAACTTTGACTCTTTTGTGACAAAAATAATACTTCTTTTAATAAAGAACCTCATGAACAGGAATGTACACAAACCCTCCTACAAAAAAATTCTCATTTTGAGAAGAAGGGGGTTGGGAATGGAACTAGTATATATATAACATATAATATAATGTCTTCAAAAAAAACCCATCCCACTTTCTGAAGTCCACTACACACATACATCCGTATGTACTGCACAGAAATCAAGCCAGCCAAGGCAAAAAGACAACGAGACACATGACAATGAATGAAGGAAGGAAGAAGGGATATATCTCGGAATATATACAAACATAGCTAAGTTCACAATCCAAATCTGAGTTGAGAGGCTTGTGGTTGGCTATATATACATACATCCCTCCATCTCTCTTAATTTGAGGATAATAATGAACTGACTTCTCCGCAGAAAATGAAACGAAACAAAAAAAAGAAGAAGAAAAAAAAGAAAAACCTGCTTTCGATGATATCCGCCTGTCTGTATGTTATCATTCCAAATAAATGAGAAATGTAATCCCCCCCCCGGCGCGCGCGCGCCAAACTCAATCGATCGATCGCGAGCTTCAGTTTCTGAAGCTTCAGTTTCGACTACCACTTTTGATTTAAATTTAAGAAAGGATGTCCCGAGGAGACTGGCAGGAGAAAGGAAAAGCGAACCTAACGATATATGAGGTATGACTTATGTCCTACCACCACGTACGGCGGATGGATCATGTGCATACGAACGGATAAGATACAATATATTATTAACAGTTTGATCACGACATACGATCATGTATGCTATTTAATTAGTTATTTATGAAGCGAAAGATCTAAAGAGAGTCGAACAAAACAGCCAGTAGAATGGTATTGAAATCAAAGTACAGATGTTGATGGTCATTACCTAGGATGAACAGATTGTGTACAACCATATAATATGTCTGAACGTACCTATCTAATTCATACAGTTCATTCAGTATACAGACCTCTATACTGTTACTTACTAAACACAACCTAACAGTACAAGTTCACAACTATCAATATCATCTTCATATGCTTCACCTTTCTTCCTTCTCTTCCGAACTACTGCCCGATCCAGAAGGTATCTCCTGTTTCGGCCTCCGATCCGAGCGGAAGAAGAAATCGCGAATACTTCGGCGCTGTTTCACATGCCCTCGCTGCTCTGCTAGAGTAGCTTGTTTCGACGCGTCTATCTCCTTTTGCAAAGCCGACAACTGCTTCTGCAGAGAGCATATCTTCTTGTCCAAAGATGGGGTTTGGCTTCGCTGCAGACAGAAGTTCGCTGGTGAAGGATCTTTGCCAGGCTCTGAGGCTCGGTTTAAATCTGACGACCTCAGCTTGCTCCACATCTTCTTCAACGTCCTGCGCCCTTCCGGTTGTTTACCACTGTCTGTTGCATTCAACGTGTTTTTTTGGACGTGATGGTCCAGCGGTGTCCATGCTGTTCCACTCTTGAGTTCAGAGAAGCCGTTGCAGACTTCAAAGACAATACTCGGCAGCTGAATCTCTGGGCGCAGCCTCTGAAAAATCTCTTTGCTTGCAACAAGGCTGTGAGACCGTTCTGGGGGAGTGATACGAAGTCCTCCGCTAGGAAAAATACCCGAATTTGGATGTCTCTTCCTGTAACTGGCACAGCGCCTATCAAAAGCGCTAAAATTGGCCGCCAAAGTCACAGCGCAAAGGGGGAGAAACTTGATATTTTCGAAGCCTTTGGCTACCACGCCGGTCTCTCTGTGGATTGATGATGCTGTGACTGGAGAGTCCAACGAAAGACGAGCACAAAGGGCCCACATGTCTGCATACAAACGGCAGACAATGTAAACATCCCCATACACAAGCTCAAACTCATCCTTTGGGATTGGGTCACGGTTCAAATCCGTATACCCCGACTGCAAGCAGATGACAAGCGACCCTTCCTGGATAGCCCAAGTCTCACCCAGTCCCAGTCTGATATCCCTGTATAACCTCAGACGGGTACAGCCCTCGGCGGAGGCTTGAGGCAACGTTCGGGCTTTTCGGAGGCTCTCTTGAGAAGCAGCCCTATCATCTCTTGGAGAGTACGAGATATCAGTTGGGAGTGAATCTCTCGACGCGGTCAAAATACTCCTCTGTTAACATCAGCCAGATGTCAGTTCAAGGAAACGGATCACTTACGAACACCCCAGGGGGATAGGGTTCACGAGGATTTGCATTCTCGTCATTTGCCACTTTTGCCGCGCCAACGATCAACGGCTCTTGAACCCAGGTGGCATTAATTGATTTCAGCTGCTTCTCGTAACAGCTGATGTCGACCTCGGAGGCACTTCGAGGAAGATGTGAATTGGGCCAGGTGCCCAGCGTCTTCCCCGCCGGCCCTCTACCGCACCATCGTCCTTTGTAGGCGCAGAACCGGCACTGATCACAGTACTCGCTCTCCCCCAGGATATCCAATTGGAAGAATGAGTAAGGAGTGTCATTTGCCGATCTCGAACTGTTCCCAAGCCGGGCATAGGAATTCAAGACGGGCGGACGATGGAAATATTCAGCATGTCGACGCCGCAGCGAGATCGACCCGTGGAAAGATACAGACTCGGACGTGTCACTGTTGTCGTCGGTCCGACTAACGAGTTCGCAGTGGCACCGTGCTCGAACGCAGGGAAACTAGACTTTCTATCAGTGATGCTTGGACATGTGCTTGATGCTTCCCTCACAGGCAGGAGATCGTCAGTGCAGGTACTCGACGGTAGGGAATTGCTATGAGTACTGTCCGGCCGTGTCTCGGGGCTGGGATAGATGTTGGTGATGTTCTTAAGCGGCATGCTCGCGGAAGATGCTATGATTGTCACTGCAGGAGGAAGCAATGCACGTTAATTTGCAATATACGGTGGTTCTCAGTATTTGGAGATGGCCATGATCTGAAGGAAGTACAGTCCGCAGCGGTTGTCTGGTTGCAGACGGAGATCTCGATCCCTCGCGCCTTCCATTCTGGGATGTCTGCAACGGAAGTCTCGCCTCAATCCAAGAGAGTCCATCGGCAGAGTCATGTCGTGAAAATAGGTGGAAATCTTTCTTTGTTATAATTGTCCCGGATACTTGACAGATCACTCTGCCAGATTAAGATCATTACTATGAACTGTAGATAAGAACGCAGCTTATTGACCCCTAGGGTCCATTTGAGAGTAGAACATTTCATTTTGCACAACACCCTACCTAGAGAAGAGAGAAAGAAATATAGGGCTACCAGAGACTCAAATCTATACAACAATAGCTCTCTGAGCAATTATTATACGTATTTTTCCTATCTACAATTTTACTGAGTGCTGTCTCCCCGACCTAACCCGCAATAAACTGGCATATTGGGCTGTGATTGGTCCAACCCGAAACAGACAGAGGTCTGGCTAGACAAGAAATGGACATCCTGAACATGTTGATCGAAATCCCAAGCAGTAAATTGTATGTACTGTACATCCATCTATGTACACTCCAGTCGCTTGACGCCTTTTTTTTTTTCGAATACCCTGGATTTTGCATTCAAAAAGTCTTCTAGGAAGAGGTTCATCCTTGCTCGAAGGCCTTGCTTCTGGTCTTCCTCCAACTTGGGCTGGTCTGAAGGAGTAGAATCCAGGGCCATGGTCTCTCTAGATGTCTGCTAGAGGGTCCCCTTCTTCAGCGGGTCCGACAGCCAGCATTTCAGCACACAATGTCGGAACATGATCGTCGGACGGAAGCGTGGCATTGCTTCCAAGATCTCTTTGACCCAGGGATGGCCCTTGTTGGGAGAGTATCGGGGCCCGACGCCGCTGCTGAGTGGATCAGGGTCATCATCATCATCTTCTTCGTCCGACGGACGCAGCCAGATTGCGTCGGGATCGTCAATCCCGGGGAACTCCTCATTCTGAGCCTGAAAGTACTTGTTCCACAGCCATAGCTTCTCTACCGCCTCACTCCATTGCTGAATCCGCTCCCTAAGACGGTTTGTCTCGACGAGCTCAAAGAATTCCGCGGGCTCGCGGTCCTCCGGCGGGGCCGCCAGAGTCCACAGTTGCTGGTATTTCCGGATCGTGTCTTCATCAAATGCATCCACACATTGGATGGGCTCCTCGCCCAGTCGGCCAAAGAGACCGGAGTCGAGGGCCCGGGCCATCGAGACGTGGATGCTGACCATCTTCAGGCAGACCAGATAATCCTTCCTGCCCTCGAGAAGAGGAAAGCTTTCATTGTGGTACCCCCCCTTGTACTCGCTATCAAAGCCATGCAGCAGATCTGCGGTGATAGACGCACCCCTGCTTCTGGCCGCCAGCCACAGCAAGAACGGGATTGGCTCGCCGGCGCTGTCGTAGAGGCCGCTGTAAGCCGGCCACCAGTTCAGGTGGACGATGTCGGTCGACGGGCGCAGCCACAGCACGCCCTCGGTGGTGTTGGACGCCAGCCACCCCGGTTGGTCGGGGTCAGAATCAGAGTCCTCGTCGTAAGCCTCCAGGGCCACCTCGCGCGACTCGTGGCATACTCGGGAAATGACTGGGGGTCGTGTGTTGCGCGAGGTGGTGTGCGCGAGCTGGCAGGTCGTCCCCTTGCCGACGAGCTCGTTGTAAGGGATGTCGAGTTCCACGACGCGCGAGGGGAGGCAGTGTCTCCAGATGGCGCGTCGCAGCTCGACGGGGAGCTTGGGAAAGAGGTGGAACTCGCTGGCCATGTTGAACACGGCAGGTGTTTGTCACGGGACTGGTCACTGGAACAGGACGGATGCCCCGCCGCCCACGGTGTAGCACGCGCGACTACAGAACGAAGACCAGCATGAGGAATGATGGGAGAAGAAGCATCAAGAGAAAGTTGGCGGGCGCCCACGAGGCATTAAATCCCATGCCGGTGCAGAGGCTCGCGGCGGCTCGAGCTGCACTATTAGGCTCTTTCCTCGTTGGGTATACGCGTTGCGTTGGCGGCCAATTCTCCCCCAGCTGGGAGAAGCAAGATCACACACAACGGCCATTTACATTCAGTGAGTGCTATTAATATCTATCTATCGATCTAAATCTATCTATCCACATGCCTAGCCAACATGATCCGTGCGCCGCTGACTCACCCAGAACCATCCGAGAACAACGACGCCCCCTCTACCTGCTCCGTCGACCCTTGACCCCATTTCCACCCACTACGTGCACGGCAGGGGCGACTCCAGGGTGTTCCTCACCTGCTCGCAAGCCTCGATGGCGATGAAATGGCCCTTTGGGTTGTTGGCACCTTGTATCTTGCCCGAGTTGTAATCGGTGACGAAGTTCTGGATGAACTTCTTCACATTCTCCTTCGCGTTCTGGTTGTCCGCGAGCATCTGCTCCGTGTCCAGCGCCGTATATTTGGTGCCGTCCTTAGACTCCTTTGTCATGGTTTTGGTTTCAAAGGTGTATTTCCGCTTATCTTTCTCCTTATTGAAGGCATCTATGATATTCTTGGCGTTTTCCTGCTTCCGGGCCGAAGACACGCCCGCCATGCACTCTTGCAGTTTCGACAGGATCGAGGCCGCCTTCGCGTTGTTTCCGAGCTTTTGGCGAGCCTCCTGGATGCGTTGCACCATAGGGTCGAGGATCAAGGGTAATCCCGGCGCTCGATCGTCGTTGGGAAAGGTACCAGGCAGGAGTTTGTTCACCGAATTCACGCTCTGGTAGCCCACGGCATTCAGCTTGTCGACCGCGGTCTCGACGTCTGGCTCGAGGTTGTTGCCGATGCCAGTGCTGCCCGTGAAGGGAGTGATATTCCCGATCGGCCGTCCCTTTCGATCCAGTTTCGGCTCTTTCTGGATGTATTTGATGAACGTGTCGAAATCGCAAGGGCTGGGGCATTTGGGCGCGATCACGGTGGCTTCGCCAAACGCCTCGATTTCCATGCGGTAGGCGTACCAGAAGAAAACGGTCTGGTAGGGGCCAGCGCCCTTCGAGGCCAGCACGGAAGAAACGAGGGAGAACAGGCACAGCAGCTGAAGCTTCATGACGGGCGATGCTCAACAGCGGTCCGGATACGGCGCCGGTAGGGAGGGACCAGCAGCAATTTGAATGGCTTCTGGAGGGGATCCGAGAGTGATCAGAAGGAGCACTAGCTCAGCATTTCCCTGCCCCAGCCCGAGAGACGGCATGATGAGGAAGGGAAACCAACACTGAGCCCATGATGGTTCTATACATTGGCTGGACGAAGATGAAACGCAGCGGTTCTCTTTTTTTTTTTTCTGTTTCGCTGTCGACTTACGCCGGTCTAGATGCCCCGGGTCAGGGACATCACACTCACCATTGGGCAGGAAGCAACGAAAATGCCGCTGTTGCATGGCCGCACAGAGACAGCGGCAGTTGGATGCTGAAAAGATCCCCGACAAGTTGGGGGCGGACGAATTTTCTAGACCCCCGCCAGGCCTGCACTTTAAGGCATCGCGATCGCGAATTAAGCGCCCGCTCCCAACATGCCAAGAAGAAGGTCGGGCATGATCTCATTCCCTATTCCTTCACCGTTCATACCTTATTTCCTATCGCGGTATTCTCAATCATCGTGTGCTTTCCCCCTTCAGCCGTCAGGGCCCCCAACATAACATAACACAACATGAAACGCCGAGATGGACCATCCGCTCGTCCTGCGCTTTGCAAGTCATTTCATAAAATCCCTCTCGAATTGTTGTCTGCTAAACGAAGAAGGGCCAATTATCGTTCTATTATTAGGAAATCTGAAACGCATTATCATTCTACGAAAGAAGCCATGTTGGAGCGACCTGTTATTCTGCTCGAGTCCAGACAGTCCGATCCGGGGGCCCGTCGGCCTATTTGTGCCTTCATCTTTCCATCGTGAGCCCTCGTTGCAGTCATCTCCTGACCTCCGTCGTCTCTGGACGAGTGATACTCCAAGATGAGACTCACCAGCCTGGTCTTTGGCACTTCTTTCGCTGCTATCATCCGGCAAGGCTCAGCCTTTTCCTCGACCCTCTCACGCTGTCCATTGCCATGCAGCGTTTCAGGGCCTGAACCTTCCAATTGGACATACTACCATGACATCAACGCCCTCCAGGACTGCAACGAGCCAACCCTCTTCGACCTGAACATCTACAACCCGGTGCAAAACCAAAACGCGCATGTTGCCCTGCGAGCCTGTGTCGCAGCACCAAGCTCTGACACGACTGTCAGGAGGGCAACCTCGACCTGTGGCCACAAGACCAGTCAAACGCAAGCCGACATCCAGCTTATCTGGTGGGGGAAGACCGATGCAGGCGTCTCAACCCAGGTTGCTTCGGCAGCCGAGCAATTGCGTTCTGCTCTCCAACAAGACGAGGCAAATTGCGAAGAGAGCAGCAGCATTCTCTTTGCCCAGTCGGGAAACGCCGTGGTGGGCATGTATGTGGGTTCGGAGATCGAGAAACTCAGCGCCGCCGACATCATCCAGAAGTTCATCGATTATGGCAATGCAAGATCAGGATTACCGGACCGCCTGGCAGCCCAGCTGTGCGGCAATATCGGCAGTCAGATATTCGGGGTGTTCGCCGACACCACAGGAAATGTCTCCGCCGTCCAGGAGGCACTTCGAAGCTGGAACGAGGCCAAGTGCCTGGCCGGATTCGATGGGGAGCAAGTCTGGCCTAACACGGCCGTTGCAATGATCCTGCCATCGCCGATGAGTTCCGCCACAAAGAGGTCCCTGGATCCTCGGGGTAATACTTGCTCCTATATTCAAGTCAATGCCGGGGATGGCTGCTCCTCCCTCGCCCAGCGATGCCGCATCTCCCAGGCCGACCTGCAAAAATACAACCCTGGTTTGAACTTCTGCAACACGCTCAAGCCCGGTCAATACGTCTGCTGCTCTTCCGGGTCCTTACCGGACTTTTCGCCCAAGAAGAATGCAGACGGTTCCTGCTTTTCGTACACCGTCAAGACCGGCGACGTGTGCGCTAATATCGCGACCGCACACAACATGACACCGAACCAGATCGAGGCCTATAACAACCACACCTGGGGCTGGCAGGGTTGTGACCACCTCATGGTCGGCCAGGTCATCTGCCTCAGCGAGGGGGATCCGCCCATGCCAGCGCCCATCCAGAACGCCGTCTGTGGGCCGCAGGTGCCCGGCACGAAGAAGCCGACCAACGGCACAGTCCTGGCAGATCTGAACCCATGCCCGCTCAATGCGTGCTGCGATATCTGGGGCCAGTGCGGCATCACGCCCGACTTCTGTACCCCGGACCCGGCCAGCACGGGGGCCCCGGGGACGGCGAAGCCTGGCAGCAACGGGTGCATCTCCAACTGCGGGACCAACATAACCAACAATAATGCTCAGCCGAAGAATTTCTTCCGAGTAGGCTATTTTGAGGCCTTTAATGGGGACAGGCCTTGCCTGCACATGGCCGTAAGGACCCCCAAATTTTTTTTTGAGGGGGAACGTGAAACCATGGCTGACTCTTCGATCTAGCCCTCCGACGTTGATACGTCTACCTACACACACGTGGTATGTATCGTTTCAATTGCTCTTGAACCGGGCATTCAAGTCTTGTTTGGAAACTTCCACTCGCTGACTGTAACTCCAGCACTATGCCTTCGCAAACATCACCAGCGACTACCAGGTCGACGTCAGCAAATACCAGAACGTGTTCAAGGAATTCGTGAACCTGAAAGGCATCAAACGGATCCTGTCCTTTGGCGGGTGGTCGTTCTCGACCTCCGCGGACAGTTACCCTATCTTCCGGAACGGCGTGACGGAGGCACAAAGGAGTCAATTTGCTAAGAACGTAGCAAAGGTACGAAGACCTACCCGCTTGTGTCTTATCCAGGCCCTTTTGCTAATCCGCTGTCTCAGTTCATCGTCGACAATAATCTGGATGGAGTCGACTTCGACTGGGAGTACCCCGGTGCCACGGACATCCCGGGGATTCCCCCGGGCAGCCCCAGCGACGGCCCCAACTATCTAGCCTTTCTGAAGGAGGTTCGCGCTGCTCTTCCCAGCGGCAAGTCCGTGTCCATCGCCGCGCCCGCGTCGTATTGGTACCTCAAGGGGTTTCCGATCAAAGAGATCAGCGATGTCGTCGACTACATCATCTACATGACCTATGACCTGCACGGGCAGTGGGATTATGGTAACAAAAATGTCGAGTAAGTGATCTCTATCTACGTTGCGAGAACTGTCCGCTAGGACTGCCCTCAGGACTGACCATCTGTACTACAGCCCGGGTTGTCCGAAGGGCAACTGTCTTCGATCCCACGTCAACATGACCGAAACGCAATATGCCCTGGCCATGATCACCAAAGCGGGCGTTCCTGCCAGCAAAGTCATCGTTGGGCAGGCCTGGTACGGGCGGAGCTTCCAGATGAGCCAGGCGGGCTGCTGGGGCCCCAATTGCACCTTCACGGGGCCCGATTCGGGGGCATGGCCAGGACCCTGCACCCAGACACCAGGCTATCTCTCGTTTTACGAGATCCAGGAGATCATCTCGCAGGCCAACGAGCCGGACCTGTACAACACGACCGTCCAGCAGGAGCAGCTCTCGGACATGAGCGATATCCTGATCTACGATTCGACCCAGTGGGTCTCGTACCTGTCCCTCAACAGCTACGGGCAACGCCTCGGCTGGTACGCGTCGCATAACTTCGGGGGCACGGTTGACTGGGCCCTGGATCTCCTGGCCGACTACTCGGGCGGAAAGGCCTTTGATGGCGATGAGTCGCAGGGCGAGGACGCGCCCTGCGATTTCAGCGTGACGTTCAATACACTGGCCGACCTGGCGAAGGCGTCCAGTAAGTACTCGCCCTACTGCTCGCAGATCTATGCGGTGCAGACGCTCTCGAACGAACTGTCCACGGCCATGGCCAACTACTCGGCCGTGAACAACGGCTACGACGACCTGTTCGGCTACTACGTCGACTACGTCAAGAGCATGATCCCGGGGGCGTTGGACTCGTTCATGGACTACAAAAACGGGAAAGGAAACCAGTACTTCAATTGCACGTTGAACGTGGATGGCCGCAACACCACGACGCAGAAGTGTCCCTTGCCGGAGAAAACACTGGCCTCGGGCTCGTACGAGCTGTACTTCGACCTGGTCGATCCGAACGGATTCTACAACGCGCTGGAGCAGGACTACGGCATCGACAAGTCGTGGGTCAAGTTCGGCACGAAGGATTTCGAAAACTCCTGCGTTGGGCAACAACACGGCTGCATTATCATCCGGCGGATCTGGAACGGGTATCCCCAAGAGGCCGACAACATTAATGTGCCGAACCCCAAGGACCTGCTCACCAAGGCGGTGCCCAGCATGCAGAGCCTGCAGGACAAGATCGACGCGACGTGGATGGATCTGATGCTGGCGGAGTGGAACGGCACGGCGCTGGACGCGGCGCAGGTGCTGGCGTTGCCCGTCGCGATGGTGCAGCAGGCGGTCGACTCGATGGCACAGGTGAAGCAGATCGGCAAGACGGAGGAGGAGCAGAAGAAGAAGGAGTTGATCCTGGACATTGTGACGGCCGTGGTGGCCGTGGTACCCTT